CCTTAAAGAATGAGTTGAGAGAATTTGATAAAAGATCAAGGTATTTTTTCTTTGGTGATCATTTTATAAACTCTCATAACCTTTTCTCTTGCCAACGTATGGATATCTTTAGGCGAAAATTGATGTTGATCCTATTGGGACTTAAAGGGATAATCAACCTAGGTTACAAAATTTTTACTTGAATTTAATTTTGACCCGTAACATACAGTGTATACAGCATGTTGACAACAATCAAATTACAAACCTCTAACCATTCTTTGTGTCTCACTATGCATGTTGAAAAGTTCTGCCTTTCTTGCTTTTTGAGGCTTTGAAGACTTGAAACAAAAAATAATAACTAGATAAAACAACTCTATGATTGAACCACGATAAACTTGCGTTTTATTCATCAAAACGTAATTAAGTTGTTTTGCATTTTATGCAGATTTGACTTTTTAGTAAGCTTTTATTTTAATAGTACACGGCATAAACTGCATAGTGCACTTAACTCTGTACATGTATAACTCACACTGTACAGTTGCATGTTATGGAGATGCAGATGCAGAGATGTAGATGCAGCTCCAGGTTAAATACTCATACTGAATTGTCAAGAAAAAGGGGAATACCATTCACACTGGGAAACCAGAAATATCAAGTGGACAAAAAATTATTAAATGACTGGCAAGGCCCACTCCATTAATTTTTGGAAGCTTTCCAATATACAGGACCTCGTTTGAAGGCAATGCATTCTTTCTACTCTTTTTAGTCACTTCAGTTGATTTGGCAAGACTGTTTCTTGAATACTTTTCCCAAAAGGTAAAACTTAATTCAGGCCAGGCATCTGGCACTGGGCAAATTGGCCAGCTGGGGAGATGAATCTGCTATCTCGTATAATTAAAGTATGGCGCAACAAGATGGTGCTCTTTGTTGTTAAAGGCTTTTAATTTCAAATAACTGCATTTTGTCAAGATATATTATGATTTTACCTTCCTTTTAGCATCTCGTTTCTTCCGCTTTTTGACATTTTTGCGAGTGGATTCATCATCAGAACTCATCGTTGCTGTCTCTTCTCCTGAATGACTTTGTCCATGTGATGGTGATTTGGGAGCATCGTAATCATCATTAGAAAGGTTGCCATCTTCTCTGTCATCACTATCCTCACCAATCTCCGCATCAAATAAGTCATCATTTTCAAATGGCTGAAGCAAATTCAAAAAACAAAATCTTTCACAAAATTTATCTGAAATGATGGTGTTGCCCTACAAAAAATGTCCATGTTTCTTTCATGGTAGTTTATCTTAAAAGTCCTTGCTTGGCTAGGAATACAGTAAACACCTGCATATAAGAACAAATGGATTAAGAACACCAGGCTGAAATTTGGCCAATAAAGCCCCATTTTTATAAGAACAAGATCAGCCTGAAAATTGTAACAATGGAAAAAGTGTCATAATTACAAAACATGTAAGTTTATGTTTGCAGATTACAGAATAATTACATGTTTTGGATAGTATCACTAAATAACAATTTAAGAACATTTTGAGGCTGATTTTTCATTAAGCGCCCGATAAATAAGAACTCAGTCAGTCTGACCTCCGAAATTGTGTGTTCATGCGGGTGTTTACTGTACTACATGTAAACACGGGCTTAAAAAGGGTTGTCTTGTAGTCTGGATACAACTAGATTCTCTTGCTGGAAAGGTAACTTTTAAAGCTCACTTGTCCAATGGGCAAGGGTGTACCTGTAAGCAAAGCACCAAGTCTAGCCGAATCATTACCACTAAGAATGATGAGCAAGAAGTGGCCACAAGCGAGCAAAATGTGAGTTACTCAAATTAAAAAGAACAAGCTGGAATTAAAGTTCTTTTGAAGCCCTGCTAAATCTTGCTGAACATTGTTTTAAAAATTTAGACCATGTACAAGGGCAGAGCTGTTGATAGGATTTCAAGTTGCTACTGGTACACGTAAATGAGTTAGAGGGCACAGATTTGATCAGCTAAGAAGTTCTTTTAGTCCTACATGTATTTTCTTTTTGTTTCCTATTAGCCAAGGAATATGCCCAACCCTCAGTCCAGACAGCCATGCAATGGAGTGCTCTCTTCCAAAACTGAACATAGTACTCAAGCTTACATGCACTCAGTTTAAGACAAAGGATCAAATTTTCTGAGAATATCCACACTTGGATGATCAAATCTGTAGTTACAAAAGCAAACATGAACTGACCTTTTTAACCTCATTTTTCTGTTTATGTCTCTTTACATTTAAAGTCTCCTCATCAGAACTGTCATCTTCATCTTCACCTGACTGATTTTCAGTCTGATCTTCCTTTACTGGTGAAGTGCCAGTATTTTTCTCCTCTGTTGCATTGTCTTCCTTATCATCACTTTTCTCTACAAGCTCAGCATCATCACTTGTAGACAGCTTTGGAATTTTAATTCAAAGGGTATTTTTATTTTATGGTAAATACGTATTTAGGGTTTCTCAAGTGGTGGTATAGACTTGAGGACCCTCCCCTACTTCTACCAGATCTGAAGCCTATTTAAAGGAACCTACATTGGAGGACAAAAATCCTTGGGATGGTTATTGAAAACCTTCCTTCCACATCCCTAACATATCAAATATGAAGATGTAGCATCATATGCACTTCTGTAACAGTTTGGATGCCTCCAATGGCCCTCCCCTCCCCCCAAACACTTTTAGGACAGGGTAAAGTGTACAGGGTAGTGTCAGGGTGCACAAACTACAACATTGCTTGGGGGCGATGGGGGAAAGGGAGACAAATTAAGGCAGATCGTGTCAAGTGTCCTAAGAATTTTGACCTCTGGAATGGACTGGTGCATTACAGTTGTAACTGCAGCTATAACTAACTACAATCCCAGTCCAAAGTAGTCAAGAAGGTTGAACGGAGGTGGGATGCAAATGTTGGGGTGGCCCAACAAAAATTAAAATTATAATGAGGTAATCATTAATCAGCCACTAAGATATTTTTAAAATTAATATCTCAGTGTAGTGGCTGCTACACGTAATTACAGATTTTAAAAACCATGAAAAATCTTTCTTTTACACTCTTCCAGTTACTTTTTTCTTTCATGTGGCCCTAAAATTATGCTAAAACTTAAGCTTAAGCTTATTTTAATCGACTAGCCTAGTAAAATAAAAGTGTTTAATTGCATGTACACCCGGGCATGTACAGATGTATTTCCTGACCTTTTCTGCGAGTGCCTCTTGTTTCTGTCGTTCGTCTACCGTTTTAATACTTGTTTCCTCATCTAACCTGCTGTCTTGAGGTTCCCCGTCAGAATTACTTTCGAGAGGTTTTTCCACCCAGTCGGTTGCCGGAGATTTAGGAAAATTGTCTTCTTCTAGATCGCCATTTTGTTCGCCATCGCTGTCTCCATACTCGGCGTCAAACAAGTCATCGTTCACAAATGACTGTAAAATACCACACAAAATTATTCATATGATATCTGCTTTGTAAATGGAAAAGTTGAAAACAATTTTACCTGGCGAATGTCCACGGCAACAGCCATTTTCGCTTCTCGATTTCGCTGAATGAACCACTGCAAAACATACAAAAGCGAATTTCGCGCCAAATGCCGATACCTCGTTGACTGGTCAATACAATTTCGGAATTTTGTCGGAACTTTATCGGGGATTTTTCGGAAGTTGAACTGTGGGGTTACTATTTTTACACGGTTACTAAGCTTATTCAGTCACAGAACAGCAGAAGTTGCTGCCAACATTATTTCATTTTCTAGTAGTCAAAGTTTTTCTGATTTAAACCAAAACAGTGAATCAAAAACTCAAAAATGGATCCTTCACTAATTAAGGACTTAAAAGACTTCAAGGCAAGAAGTATCAAACAACCAACTGTCGAAGCAAAGAAGTCAAAAACAACAAGCAGCGATCAACCAAAATCAAAACCACTGTCAAAACCTAAAGTGCCGAAAAGTAGTTACCTTCCTAAGGAGTTATTGCAACCAAAGAAACAAGCTACTCCTTCAGCGGACTACAAAACTCCCACTTTCAGAAGTAAGCATAAGTTTGCTGTGCTTGCTGCTATTGTAGACTTCATGAAAAGGCGTCATCTTGGACGAGAATTCGAGCCTTTGAGTGTCGACGAAATCCTCGATCGAATCAAGTACACTGATATTAGTCAAAACGATAAGGCTTGGCTAGGCAACGAGGCCTTGAAAGAAAACTCTAAGCTTGTTCACAAAGAGGGAAAGTTTGCCTTCAAGCCGAAATTCAGTATCAAGGACAAGAAACAACTTCTAAAATTGCTAGAACGACACGAAGAACAAGGTCTGGGCGGGATATTATTAGACGATATTCGTGAAAGTTTGCCCGAAGCTGATCACGTAGTAAAATCTGCCGGGCGTAGGATCACGTTTATAACACGTTCTACAGATAAGAAAGTCATCCTGTTCTTCAAAAACGATCAGCACCAACTCCCTGTTGATGAAGAATTCCAAAAGCATTGGCGTGGGGTGTCTGTGGAAGGAATCGGTGAAAATGACATTGAGAAGTACCTGGTCAATGCAGGAATCACGACCATGCAGGACTCTGGGATAAGAAAGCCACAGCAAACCCAGCAAAAGAGAAAACCGAACAGAAAACGAAATTTCAAGAAACTGAACACGCATTTGGATGAGAGTACTCTAAAAGATTATTCACAAAGTTAACCTTGAACAACAATAGAATTATTTAAAAATTGCAAATCTTTCTATATCTAAGTGGTATTCCAATTTTAGCAGAGTGCCTGTGAACTAGCCTCCCATGCAGACACCTTTAGGGATTCGCCCCATGGACATCTGTGGGAGAGGAATGCGTGAAGAATCCCTGAGGACATCTGCGTTGGATGCTACCTGTGAACTAGCCAAAGCAGCTAAGGAGTTGTTTACATGAGAAAACACACACTGGCTCGAGTTTCATACTGATATGAGTTGTATTTACATGTTTGCATGTTTTTTCCTCATCTCATGACCGACATGATGTTGCCATCCTGAAATGATGAAAACTATGCATGCGCTTCCTGTTCCAGTCCACTGGCAGATCAATTTCACACCAAAAAGATGTGGTTGTTCTTGTTTACATGATATTGTTGCGAAATTTTGTACCGGAGTGAAACTCTCGTTCTGGTACAACAACCAGGGTGAATTCAAACAGGGTGGTATCATGTAAACAAATACGGAGCCACAAGAGAGACCTGGAGTGAACTTGCGCTGGTGCATACGTTGCCCGGCTGTCATGTTAACACCCCCTAAGTGCACTTGGGTGTTTCTTGGTGTTGCAGAAACCATTGTTGGTTCACATGATGTGGGTATTGTTTAGTGTCATGTCAATCTTTTGAATTACGTCATTTGGTGATTGGACCTGTCTGCAACACCAAGAATTTAACCATTTTGTCTACCAGAGAACACATCAATATTGTCTCCGACAAAGGGGTAGGACTCTAAATGTCAGGTGTAAAAGGGCCCATGTCACATTTTTCTTAAAAAACACTTTCATTGTTGGTTAGTTGTCTTACCATTATGAACATTTTTCTAGGAAAGATAACTGGTTGTGTATTCCCTGTTCCTAAATGTGCCCCACCATGTCAGATATTCTAGATGGGTAATTGTTTACTTCACTGTTTATGAAAGAACCAAAATTGACACACCCTTGTGACTTGTTACCCTTTTGGTGCAAGAACATAGAATTATTTTTTTAGAGGGAACCTGGCCAAAATGCCCTCAACATATTGCAACATTTCTACAGTACATATTTATTTAAGGGTACAATCAGTGAAGCCTGCCATTATGTCCATCACAAATTTATGACTGTAATAAAGTAGACTCAACTGCAGTTGGGTTATGTTTTTGATGGTTGAAAATAATATAACCACATAAAAAGGCTTGCTTTTATTTCTCTTTCATTATTTTTAATATTTTATTATTATCATTATTGACAACAGAAAAATATTCATTTGTGTGCAGGTTCATGCAGCCTATTGTGCGAATGTCAAGAGAACTAAAATATTGTTATTATTCACAGGTACTTTCTAAGAAATTCTTCACTATTAAACATATATTAATTTAACACTGTGAAACAGCGACATCCCTGCCAGTATATTGGTAAAGTAAGGATGCCTGTCAAGTGACCTATCACATAAAATTCAGGACACGCGAGCAAACCTCAAAACCACAAACTAATTACCGTTGCTGTGGCAGTTTAGTTTTCTCACACCTTTTTGTTGGCTATTTCCTTGCAATGCAATAACATTACTGCACAAATATTTCTGGTGTTCATGGTTTTGTGAGTTTCACAGTAAAAATGAAAATGAAATGTTGAAAAGTCTCATTTTGTGTTGATTGAATTTTTCTTCTTTGTCTACGTAATAGATTACGTAATTAAAAGGTGCATTTAGTAACAAAGAACCTCAAAACTTTTCAAAATATATATTTTTAAATAACTTGTACTAATTATACAGAATAGGATCTTGAGTACAGCATGGTAGTTCAATCAAGTCTCTATTTCTGATTGGTTTAGATCCCCTGGCCAATGACCAGCTAGTGTTGACTAACTTGGATAATGTTTACAGCCGTTATTTTTACAATACTTGAGGTCAATAATGAAAAAGTAAACTGAAACAGGGACAGACATATCTTCTGCCAGTGAAAATCATGGTGGCTCAGCTGTTCTGGCAAGAAAATGGCAGAAGGCTTTAAGAATCATGCATAAAATTCATTCACACATCATGATAAATTTCAGCTGAACCTCCGCTAACAGCCACCTCTCCACAACAGCCATCTCTCTGCAACGGCCAATTTTTTTTTGTCCTGGCAGACAAAAAATCCATACATCGGCCCTTGTTTGAAAACTCTCTACAACGTCCACCTCGTTAAAATGGCCACTTTCTTCTGTCCCCAAGGAAGCTGTTGCAGAGAGGTTCAGGTGTATGTAGCGTTAAGCAGACCAGATGGGGTGGTATCTACTTTGGCCTCTGCACTGAGGAGAGAACATACTCCTCAATTTCAGATAACTTTTTCATATCATACTCAGCCACTATGTAATAATTGTTAACTTTTCCTCGGCTGTAATGTTACTTTACTTGTCTCGCAGCTCTCTCTTTAATATTTTTCCACTTGCAGTCTTAGGAATCTGCTCAATGAACTCCACACCCCCACGAAGCTTTTTATGAGGAGAAACTCTCTCCGCCACAAACTCTGTAATTTCTTTCTTATCAACTTCACCTTTTGGAACAACGAATGCTTTAGGAAGTTCTCCAGCTTCTTCACAGGGAACTCCAATCACTGCAACATCCAATACGTTTGGATGAGTGTGAATGAGAGCTTCCAATTCAGCTGGTGGGACCTGTGAAAACAATTCAATCATAGTAAATAGTGATTAATCCCTTCAACTAGTGGCTTCACGTTCTCACATTTTTGTAGATGAAAAGCTTAAAAACCATCGGTATTAATGTTTGAACATGCAAGAGTGATGAGACTTACACAAATAGTGAGATTGCTACCTGAAATCCTTTGTATTTAATGAGTTCTTTAAGTCTGTCTACAATGTAGAAGTGTCCCTCTTCATCATAGTATCCTGTATCACCACTATGAAACCATCCATCAGGGGTAATACATTCTGAAGTAGCTTTAGCATTATTAAGGTAGCCTAAAACAAGAAGGAAAAATGCATGAAACAAAAACAAACAAACAAACAAGATGTTATTATTTCAACTGTATTAACATCTTTGGAAGTTCTGGAAGTCTTTGTTTTTACAGATGCTAACCTTACCGGGTATATTTTTTGGCACGGAGTTAAGAAGGATGATTCTTAAAATTTAATGGTGTAATAATAATATTATGCATTCTTTATGCTGGTTGTAAACATCATATCATGAAAGTTCAAGAAGTCAACAATCCCACTATAATTTATCTTGCACTTTATTATTATTTTATTTTTTGTTTTTTGTTTTTTTTTGTTTGCCTTAATGTTTCATGGTTAATAAACAAGTGATGAACTGTGGTGAATAGATCTATAAGGAGAACATTATTTATTGTTACATGTAGTACCTTTCATTATTGATGGTCCCCTAATGCACACCTCACCACTTTGATTTGGCCCAAGAGCTTCACCTGTTTTAACATCAACCACCTAGACAAAGAAATGATATTAATATGTTGACCAACAAATAAATATCTTCCTACCTAGATTCTAAAAGTTTAAGACGGTAGGGTACATATTATGAAGTTACCAAAGAAGTGATCACTACACTCACTTTATACTCTCTTACATTTGCAAAAAAATACTCCTACAACAGTAGAAAATCCCAATTTCTCAAACCACACCAAATCCAAACACTATTATATCATTGTACAACCTATTTTTCAAACCACTTGAAAATTTGAACCAATAATTTTTTATTGCTTTTCTCCTTTGAATCTTCTAATTCCATTCGTTCTTCCTGGTAGGAAATTGTACTGTTCAAGGTTAGGGTCCATGGTTTCTGTCATTTGCTTACTGTTTTCATACCCAACAAGACGCTACGGAGCGTATACTTCGGCGTCGTGGTTGTGGAACTAATTAATTGTAAATGCGAAGGAATAGTAAGAAATCAAATATGGCAAGAGTAAGGTGTTAATTTGTTAAATTATGGGATTTGTCAGGATATTCTGAAAAGAGCAACATCCAAGAGGCCTACTTGCCAAAAACTAGCATTTCGGGACAAATTGTCTCCGAGATATTAGCCCAGTTATGCTCTGATGACTCCATACAAATCCTTCTAAAAAAACAATTCTCAATTTTTCTTAGTCACATCAGGCTTCAAAGACAGCATGGCAGTCTCATGTACTGATTAAAGATATGTAAGGCATGGGTAAGGAGTCGATTACGTTGAGCATGGAATTGGCTAAAACTCAAAGTCACGAGTTCGAATGTTTTGAGGATAATTATTCACCGACTATCAGCACGCAGGGATGTCGGATTAACACAAGGAAGTTTAACACCAAAGGAACATAGCCTTTACAGAGCTTTAAAACACGCCATCCACCAACACAAACTTGACTTGAACTTTGAGTAAAACTAAACAGCCTCTACCAATAACAACAAACTCTCACTTGAACTTCAGATATCTTACGGCTTCCGCGAACTTGTAAACACAATACCCAAAAATCGACCTTCGTCACACTTGCCTAAACACAGCAGTCCAGCCCGTGGGAAAAAACTTAGTTCTTCAAAAGAATTCGCTTGGAACTTGTATACTGTTTGACATAAGGTTCTAGAAAGTACTAAACAGCAGGCGAATACTTAGTAACTTTTCGACATATTTTATGATTTCAGTAACTGACGCAAATCTGCTGACTCATGCTGAAATGTAAACATGCCCTAATTAATTATTCATGGCAAATCCAAAAACGTAGAGAACGTTCGAGAAAGTCACGCAATGCATGAAAGCAATTTTAGTACGTAACACTCAACAAAGAAAAATGTCTCTTTGCAGCATTTTGTAACTTTAAATTCATCATAAAACAGTTCGAAAGGAGGGCTCACTCGTGAAATGTTTTTCAACACTCGAAGAGAAATTTCGTGTCTCTGCCCGGCCACGAAATATCCTCTATTATTTTATTCCACGAGTAATTAAAGAATAAACTCGAAGTGATCTCAAGATATCACAAAGTAGTCCGGTCTCATTTCGTGAAATAGTTGAAAGAAGCCAAAAAGTCACGAACTTGCACGCCCAATCTTCTCCCGAAACTAGTGCATCATTTCATAACTATTTTTCATATCCCAAACTACCTTGGGTCGCAGTAGCGCAATCGGCTAATCCCTCAACTTAGAGTCTCCTCTGATCTGACGCGTTACACAGGTGAGTCGGTTCAAACCCCGGGAAAGCCAAAATAATAATTCTTTCTTCCTCGAAAAAGTTAAAGAATAAATCAAAGAAATCGAAGTGATCTCGAGATATCTCGAATTAATTCGGCTCTCACTTCGTCAAATGGGCGAATAAAACCGAAAACCTACAGACTTTGCATGCCCAA